AAACTTATTTTCTTATTTTTTAAAATGACACGTCCTTAACATCTTATAAATGAAATTTTCCCATCTATTTATTTCCGATAATTAAACTCGTTATACTTGGTTTTTTTAGGCCCACAATGTTATAAGTCAAATCCAATCAAGTTTGGCTAAGATAAGAAGTTTAGTAAGAATTATAACTATAAATAAATATTTTTAGTGTGATAATTTCTTTCTTGATTTGGGAAGAGAATTAGTAAGAAAATTGGGATTGTAAAAAAAAAATTTAATTAATTTAATTGTAAAGTAAGAACGATTTCAAACACATTTGAAATATATATATATATATATATGTTTTTTTTTTAATTTTTTTTTNTTTAATTTTTTTTTAATTTTTTTTTGTGATGGGTTTCAGAATAAGTAAATTTTTTTATAAAAATATGTATTCGACTGTTTGAAAATTAAAAGTTAATTGAGCATCAGTTTTACTGAGATGTCATAAAAATTAAATAGTGTTGAGCCTGGGAATTTGAATTACATTTCTGGGAAATAAATTTAATTTTTATCATCCACTTGAAAATGCAGAAGTGTGAATGTCTGAGAAAAGGAAAATGAGCAACCAGTCTCAAACAAGGAAAATCAGATATGGAGTTTTTATTGTTAATCCTAAACACTTAATTATGAGTTTTTAGGCTCCATCCCAAGCATTGTGTGTGTGTGTGTGTGTCGGGGTGGGGGGGTGGGGGGGTGGGTGGTTGAACCAAATACGCTGCCGGTATCCTGATAATAGACAGAATTACAAGGAGGCAGACTCTCAACAATTAATTAATCAATCAGCAGAAAAGAAATGTAAAATCATAACCTGCTACTTCCATTACAAGGATCAAGAGGAGTAACTTACTCAGCTTAAGAATATTACAATCACTTTTACAGCTCTAGAGTTGAGTTCACAGCTGAGGAGCGAGTTGAATGGAATGGTGGGACAAGAAAAAGGGATCATAGGGAGAAAAAAATTACAAAAATCGTACTATTCAAAAAATTTGAACCTCCTATGCATTAAATCATATTACAATTGTACATACTATAAGCGACGAGACCAAGTTGTTGGTTGAAAACTTAATTATGGAGAGTATTAATACATACCTATTGAGGTTTGGAAAATTCAATTACGGAGAGCATTACAGCTGATCTATAAGAAAATGACTTCGTTTCTTGATCTCTTCAACATCGAAGATCGATTTTTATACAACAAGAACAAATCCCTTACATATTCGTAAATCCACAAAAGGATAATGGATTTGATCATATATCATGGACTAAAACAGGTTTGGATATGAACAATGCCAATTTGTGGGATCTGATTTTTTTCTTTTTTTAATTGATGTGATTCCAATTTCTGCCTAAAGATAAAGGAGAAGATATTTGGGATTTTTGGCTATAATTGGTGGTGAATTAAAGAAGCTTGTTTGGTGGAGAGATATAAGCTATCTACATTATTATTATTATTATTATTATTATTATTATTGGAATTAAGTTGTTTTTGATAAGTCGTTTTTACTTTATATATTGTAGTATTTGTGATGATATGTAATATTTGAATATTTATTTAAAGGTATTTCGTTCATGTAATTTCCTCTTATTTTTTTAATAAAAAATTGTAGTGGGCCAATTTTACCACCCCACCCCTCCAACCAATAAAAGGAATTAAAAAAAAAATGAATGAATAAAAGAGGATAAACTCTAAAGGGCAACTTACACAAATACCCTTAAAATTAAGGGTTTTTGAAAAATCATATGAAAAAAAATTTTAGAAGTAAAAAATACTGCATAATATTAAAATAAAAAAAGTTATACAATGCCACTTTTTTAAAAGTTAAGTGTAACTTTTTTTTTTTAATTAAAAAATGACATACATTGTTACTTTTATTAAAACTAGTGTGGATCGTGCGTTGCACGATAACCGTTATAATTTTGTAAGAAATGTCACTATGCATGATGATTATAACATTCTTGGACAGTTTTTTTTGGTAC